GTTTTGTTTATTCGTTTTTGTATTTCCCCTGATGATGATTTGTTCAACATGATCTCTAGATCTAGGTCTTACTTGATCAAAAACCGAATCGGGTTTCTTTCTCTAGCGCTAGCAGTGTTGACAGCTCGGCGTTGGCGATCAGAAAGAAGGGGCTATGGCTCTAAGCTAACTTGCCCGCAGCTGTGTTGTACCCCTCCACCCCCTGTGGTGTGTTGCGTCTGCTTGCGCACGTCACACATTCACTCTCCATCTATCACAGCATTGTGACCTCTCCATCCCGCTCCAGAGAAGTGAGAGGCACGGTATGCCTAGATAATCTAGACTGGGCTGGCCTATCACGCGATGCGTTCTGCTTGTCTGCGCATGCCACACCCTCCCCACTCTTTCGCTCTGACCTTCATTGTTGGTTCACATGGGCTCCCCCATTCTTTGTTTCGCTGGATCACCAACAACTTTCTCAACTGGCGAGGTTTTATAACATGTTTAATTGGTCTGAGCATTGTGCACAGCAGCAGCAATATTCCGTTATAACCGACTAGCGTGTTTGTCTGATAGCGCAATAGCAGTATTTTATTCACAAAGGTAAAGAAGGAGAAAAAACGGAGATTTAGAATAGTGTCTTTATAACAGACTTCTCGTTGTTTCAGGACTCGTTATAAGTGGACTCCACTGTATTTGTTACTCTCTTGCAACACCGCTAATCTTCTGGCGCTCATATCACCTTATGCAGTTGCGAGTGCTGTAAAACCTCTACTAAAACAAACAAAACATAGAACGGCGCACTTGCCTGATTGGCGGCTAATTTTAGTAATGTGATGTCATCACATCCTGGGATATCCGCAGACTTTTTTTAGAAGGCCTTGGAGATACCCAAGATAGTGTAGTAGAGTATCTTTAGGGATACGGAATGGAACAACATGTTGGGTCAGTGGCTTGACGTATTACCTGTATCGATGTGTTTCGCACGCTAAAATTTCACACTTGCGGCTAACTGCAGCCCATCAGTCATGCTCTTCTTATTGGTTACTAGGTTTCCGGTATGTTACTAACATTTTCGTAATTCCAGTAGTGATGCTTGAAATTGAAACACGATAAACGCAAAGACAATAAAGCGTGCAGAAATTGCCGCAAATACGCCGGAAGATCCCCCCCCCCGGCGCTATAAACAATGCATAATTTTAAGAGATAAGCAGCAGCATCATCGGAGCTCTGCATCATATCACATTACCTGTATTCCTGGAAAAACTGCACCAAAGTGTCGTGTGGCATCAAATATTCTCTACACGGTCTTTGGTGAGGGGTGGTTTGCTATATTTAGATGTAGTCACGTGATTGGAGGGGTATCCAGGTCTGACATCATACAATATGGCCGCCTTATCTAAAAATAGTTTGCGTCATTTTACGTTTAGTTGCATGTGAGATTGAGATACCCCAACTCTTTGAGCCGAAACTGAAGATTGCCTCTGGGTTTCTATGTCTACTGTTAGTTGAGACTGGGTTGTAGGACTTTCGTGTTTTCAGTTTCACCAGATTATTGAACAAAATCTATGCTGGAATATGCCTACTTGTGTGGTGTGACGGCAAAGAGGATTTACATTTCTATTTTGTAATAGTCTGCATGTCAAGGATAAAATAATGGTAACAGCATGCTATCCCTCTTTTGTTCCACAATTACTTTTACGTAATAACACAAACACCATGGAACACCTTAGTAGGATAACTGTTACTCAATCAGTGTTCCAGTAGTATCGACTTCATTGATAACTTATGGCAGCAGAGTAAATCTGAGTTATAATGTACCCTTTTGTAATAGACTCTACTGAGTGACCTCACTCTGGGTTAATGGGCAAAGCATTGTTTTACCCGTAATCATTACCCTTTGAGACCCCCCCTGAACCTACATCCTCTCATGCTGAGGCATGCGTTTATGCCACGGTTTGGTGTGCTCAAGGATAAAAGTGTTACACTCTCACGCACCAAGATGTGTGGCTGACGATAAGGTTGTGGAGCAAAATATGGAGCTGAAAAAAAGGTGTGTGCCTCTGTAGAAGTTTTAAGACAGTGATGGTAGTCTAAAAAGTTTCTTTACCTCTGGTTTTTGAGTGGCTGCACCAAATAATGCAGACTACTCAGAAAATGGAGTTTGTTAAATCCATAAAGGCTTTTCATTACATAAAAGTCTCTGAATAAATTATATATATATATATATATATATATATATATATATATATATATATATATATATATATATATATATATATATATAGAATATATAGAATATATACAGAGCCTGCAGCAAAGTTGCAGTTTTAACAGTTCTTTCCATATATATAGCTAATTTGTTTATTGTTCCATTTGCAGGGGACGGTGTACACCAAAATGAGCGTCAAGCCATTCTGACCAGGCTCTTGGATGCTGTAAAACAGGCATGACTGTTTTTTAAACAATTTTTTATTGACATGTTAGAATATTTTTAAAGTGATTTTCTGATCAGTCAGTACCAATTTCTTGCAGATTCTTATTTCTCTTAGGACCACTTGTTAAATTTTTTGGTTTATAGGTTTTCATTGTTGTTTTGCTTAATCTTTTATTACATCGTCATATTAAACCAAAAGTGTTCTATCTATCTGCATTTTAGGTGCTTTTGAGATATTGTATATCGAATTTGTGAATCTTAACTCATTCGCTACGCCGAGCTGTGGGGGGCGGCGCGGCTCAAGTGCCGTCAGTACGTTAAGCTGCCCCCGGCGGCTTGAGAACCGACGTTCAATTTTAGCTTGGTTTTTATTCCAATCCACTTATCCATGTTAAAATAAAGGTCATAATATAATGTTGACTTCCGGGTCAAGCGTTTCCACAGAAAATCGGAAGTTTTGATTCAGTTTTGAAACATGATTTCGTAGTTTATTCGACTTTGTGTTTTCGCGAAGCCCAAATTATAGCCCAGACACCAGTCTTAGTACTTTTACACAACAAAATGTATAATTATTTTGCTCACTAAAGAAGTGTAGGACTCTTCTTTATAATATTGATACTATTGGACGCAAATTGCCGGTGCATTGTAATTGAGAAATCAATATTTTTGAGTGCTAGATCTAGGCCTAGATCTAAATAGTCAAAATATTTTTTTCTCCCCAAAATCACTACTTTTGGGTGAAATATATCAAAAAGTACCACTCAAGACATGTATAGGTTTATTCCAAATGCAGTTCTGAATAATTCCATATAAGTTACGCATATTTTTTTCTGTTTGTGATCCTTTTTTCAAAATATTAAAAAAAATTTTTTTTTTCAATATCGGATGTTATGATCCAAATGTACAAATATTATGGAATGTATGTAAATAACTGAACATTTTTCAATATTTTCCTGTTCTATATACAGTTATGGTTATTTTGAGGTATCATTTGACTAGGTGCAAACATGTTTTTTTAGTTTCACCTGAGATTATAAATTTTTTATTTTCCAATTTTATCCTCATCCAATCACAATTGTGCTGCATAATCGCCTCTTACAGGAACCAAAGTGAAAAATACGCAAATAAATAATGCAGGTGTATTCTACAAACCATACTGAAAATGTTGGTATATAATATGTTGATATTTATTTGAATTTATGGCCCCCAAGACCTGTGAACTGCGCACTAGTCATCATCTCATTTCGCCCTCCCGAAAAGAATTCGTCCACAAGCCGAAAATAATACGTAGTGAATGAGTTAAATATCTTTTTTCAAGAATATTTCTCTCCGAGCAGAATAGTCTTTCCAGAACGAATGAAACGCCAGTCACTGTGCAGCAGGTTGCAGATTAAACTGGCAACACACAGTAACTCGATACATCCACTCACGCTGATAGAATCCTTTTAATCCCAAATGATGATCAGTTATTTACGTCAATCGTATCAAACTGAGGAAAAAATATTGGTTTGCTATTGTTCTTGTCTTGACTGCTTTATGTTATACTTTCTTTCTCTATGATATTTGCTGTAACCTACTTAATAGTGAGTGTCTGAAATGGACAATGGTGTAGAACAAAAACTGATCGACTGCTCAGTGTAAGAATCCGTCATGCTACACCACTTTTCAAAATGTTGTATGGCGGAGTCGTACACCTAGCTGTGGAGATTTGTGTAGAGAAAAATTTATATTTTTCGTTTTAATGTAGGGAAATTATGAAAAATACCAACCAGTAAAAGTTTAAACATTTTAGTTACCGTTTTTATTTTAAACATTGAATTGATATCATTCCAACCCCAAAAAAGTTTTAATGTATGCGACTAATTTAATTATGGAGCGATTAATGTAACATGACTGTATTTCATCTCATATTTTTCTATTGGTTAGTTGTCTTGAAGTATATACCTTTGTTTTTGTCTTTGGTGTAACAAGTTATGTTCGTTACCACAGCACTATTATGTTACTTTGAGGGACAAGATCTCAAGGTGATTAATGTCCTGTTGTTTGTCCCCAGTGTCAAGTGCGATTTGGTGGGAGGTCCGAGCTTGCCACTGATTCAGACAGCCGGTGAGTAGTATTAATTTTTTTGCATCTGGTTAGCCATCTCTTCTTTAACAGCTGGATGGAAATGTCCTCAAGAAAATATGATATCTTGATTTTAAGATAGCAAAAATTTGTGTGGAATAATATAATTTGTTCGAAAGCAGGAGGGGCAGTCTTTAATGTTGATGTGTTTCTCTTAATTGGAATTTTTAGAATTAAAAAATTGAATGCACTTTTGTTTCAGACGTTTGCGGCATACTTTGTCAAATCATCACTGTTGTTGCTATTTACAAGTTAGTGCAGAAAACTCAAGTATCTAGTTACTACTTCTTTCTCTTCTCTCACTTTGAATTTGCACATGTGGCCTCAAAACATTCACAGATTTAAAAAATATATTTGTTGTGTTTAAAGCAGTATGCTTTACTTTTTAAATTAAGATTTATCTTGTATTTTTCATTGTTTCTGTCATTATGTTAAAAGCTCTCTTACCCTTGATTGAAATGGAGGTATGGCTTCTGAGTTTTTTGTTTTTTTTTCAGTGTATCTTGCCTGTGTGCAGCATGGGAAACTGCTCTACAGCATGGAATGAAGAAAAACAGCAAAGCCCTGTCAGCTTTCAAGTACGATTATATTGTTTTCATTTGAATGAAAATGTACTTTTAAGGATTTTAACGTGTCCCTTCAGCCTGCTATCATCAATGATATGCTCTTCTCATCAAGTACATCAAACTGTGAACTTTACATCTACTATATATCTCATATTATTTATTTTTTTTAGAAATGCCACTATATATCTCATATTATATTTTTAAAATATTGCTTTTAAATTGCTTATTGTCATTTGTAACATATTTTGTAGAATGTGCCTGAACTTGATAGAGACAAGCTAATAACTTAATATTTTTTTCTTCAGACAAATGACGGAGAGGGCTGGATTAACTAAAGTTACAGACCTCTTCTCAGATATTAAGCGTATTGAAACAGACCCAGGTAATGTTAGTGAAACCATATTATCCCCCAAAACTTTAAAAATGTTGCTCTCCCTTTCTTATGTTCTGTAAATAATTTGTTTAGATCTAGAGTTTGTGGATGTGGGTCCAGAAGGGGTTGGAAAACAAATGAGAAACTGTAGTTGTTAAATGGTGTCCATAACGAACCAGATATATTTTTCACCGGTTGATTCTTGAACTTTGCTTCCTGTGAAACAGTAGCTCAAGGGGCAGTGTCATCTCTCAGCATCTTCTATTTTATTCTTATTCTGTGATTTTTGTTAAAAAAGCGGGCTTCATGTTCATGGCAAAACGAAATTTGTTTTACAAGTTTATGGGGATGTGGTAAATTTGATAAGATCTGAAAATTATGTGATGGCTTACTACTTAAGCCATGAGTGAGATTGTTGATTTGTTTTCATTTTCTTATTCAGTCGGGAATAGACTACAAGCAAAATTCTAAACCAGGGATATCTGGTACAATATGTCATTCTCTGAACAGATATATTTTTATTGCATTGGGAACACTGTTTTCTCAAACACATATGCTGAATTTTTAAACTGCTAGTCTTGCAAAACCGGACCAATTAATTATTCCTCACAATTGTCTTGAATTCAAATCACCCTATGCGCATGATGGAAAACATATGAGTAATTAAAAAATTTTTTTGGGGAGAGCTCATCAGCAACACTCTCTTCCCTTCTTTTGCTTTGACACCAAACACTATCCTTTTATTTGTACTGGGTGCTTTCATAATGGCAGAGAAGAGAAAACTTGAATTGTCTGACGATAGAAACCAAATGTTAGATTTTAAAAGAGGTTTACAAGAAGTCATGCACTAAGTCAAAAATTTGTAAAAGAGATATGATTTTCCCAATTTGATGTTTTTAAAGTTTCTAAATGATCAGGTCAAAATAAAATTGAAAGTACCAGCTTTGGATGTCAACCTGACAGAAAGTGAGCATGCTTTTCCAAATTTAAGATCCACGAAGTGTTATTATTTCAATGGTTCTAGACAGTATATGCCATTTCTCTTCCTATCTCTGAAACTTGACTTTGACTTAACTCCTTTTATCCGGGCTATGAGTATACTCGTAATGAGGACCAGTCCGAGCTACGAGTATACTCGGAACAGCGATACGGTCTCGTCAAAGAAGCTAGTTTTGCTTGTAATTACCAAAATATGCAAATGCGGCGATGAGCTCTGTCTGAATATTTTAATTTTCCAATGAAAAGTGGTTTCTTTGTTTTTGATGGGTGTAAAAGCTTGAAAGATGTCTCGAAAACGCACATTCACGACCGACGAAGTACCTTTAGAAGTGGCGTTGGGTTATGAGGGGGAATGATACTAATTTGATGAAAGTGACTTTGAAATAAGTGATGTAAATTCGGTGGTGGATTATAAGAAACAAGACTTAGACTCATCTAATAGCGATTCAGATCATAGTGAAGGGGTCAGTACTGGAATTCGTGATCGATTTGTAGGGCTAGATCTAGATCTATAAAATCCAATGGGACGTCGTGGGCGCGGCAATCAGGGTCAAGTTCGAGGGTGGAATACACCTCAAAATCTACATTGTGCAATTGGTGTAATTCCTAACCACATACGTTTACAAAAACTACATTCAATTTCTAACATAAATGCCAAATTTCCTTAAAACCTTAGGGTAAATGTAAGAAATATAGCACTTTGAACTATTCGCACTGACTTCCGAATCATATGGCGCGGACTGGTACAGAGTCCGTGGGGGTGCGGCTAGGATAAAAAGAGTTAATTTACAACACAGAATGGTTGAATAGGTTCAAATAGGGACATGGCATCACTTATTACAAACATCTGGGTGAGCCGAATCTGCTACAGTAAATTCGCTACAATGACATTGTTAGACCAATGGACCATCACAGTTACTACTCATGATATTCTTCAGTATCTCTTAAATTTTTCATATTAACTATTAGTTAACTTGAATTTTGTCAATCCCTGATGTGTTTGAATTATTCATGCCCAATTGTATGTTTATTTTCCTAACAGCAGAGCCATCTTTTAATAAAAATATATGTTTTTGGCTGTTTATTTTCAGTGTTTTGGCATTATGCGAAGGAGCATCTTACAAAGCATGAGTTCCAAAGATTCAATAAACTGAAATTAGTGAACACGGATACAGGTAGAGGTAGAGCATGGTTGCGAGCCTCTTTAAATGAACATTCCCTGGAACGTTACATGCACATGCTGATCGAGAATGATGACTTGCTTTCGTAAGTTTCATGTCAACTGTATACGTAGTGTATGTACTCGAACACATCCATTCATCAGTTCATGCTTAAATACGGGCAGTTACTCAGTTTTTAAATTGTTTGTTTCCTTTCTTTCTTTACATTATAGGATATTGATTTAGATACTAAAGAGTGTCAGAATAAAGAAATGATAAATGTGCTACTTATTTATTACTTAAAGTAATGATTATTGTTTATTTTTACTTAAGTTTTGATTGAGTTCTTAGCTTGCTTTATGATATATAGGATTTTTAATATGAGTGTTTTGATGACATATATTGTGCAGGGGGTTTACTGACATGCTGAAACTTGAAGTTTGAAACCATCCTGGAATATTTTAATTTTTGGTTTAGATGCCTTAACAGCGGGTTTGTTTCTCTGCCTAATCTATTCTTTGTCCAGAATGAAGGTAAAGTCCAACTACAATTGAGAAAAATTAGCATGTGGTTGTAAAATTTTCTTATCTTCCTTTAGCAATCAATCCCTCTGATGCCATACGAGCTAACTGGGTCACTCTCAAGTGGGTATTGGTCTTTCATTTATTGGATTATACTTTTTTTCCCCCAGGAATTAATTGTTTTTCTCTACTTTATTGGGGGTCCTTGTTCTTTGGTTGTTTGAACTTATGCCCTTCTTTGTGCCAATGGGCTATTTCACAGGTGTGAGCTCGAATGAAAGTACAAGTAGTGTATACATTGTGTTCATTTCTGTTTCACCATTGAAGGAGTCTCACGTTTTGTAGCAGGGATGGATGGTGAGGTGTCCTTGTTATGGCTAAATATGATTGTTCCATGACTCCACAACTGTGATTTTATTTGTGCTTTGATTTATCCTCCCCCGCCCCAGACAACAATACGAAGACTGGGCTTTCCTTCGAGACTTGGAAAGAAGCAGTATGCTTCCGAACATGGCAGCAGGTAATGTACAGTATAAGTTGTGGTTTTTGCATGATTTAAATATTTATGTCTTTTTTATAGTGGTTTTTGCATTTAGTTATACCTTCTGTGAATGTCAGAGCATATTAAATTTGATAATGTTTATTTTACATCAATGGGTGCTACTACAATTAAATTTGCTCCTAACGAAATCTTTGAACCTGACCTTCAACTTTGTTATTATGATGATGATGATGATGTGTTTTTTGTCAAATTCAATTTAAGACTGAAATTGCAGATTTTGAAAAATTCAAAGTTGATCATAAGTTACAAGAAGTCAGGTCTCTTAATTTTGCACAGACAAATTATCACTTTTTTTCTCGTGCTATATCCTTTTAACAATGAGTTTAATACTTCAAAGAAATAGTACGCAATTTCTGTTTTTTGTTTGTTTCCCAGGTCTTGGCTCCATCTTGTTTGCCATCACAGTGGACAGGCCAGAGCTGAACAAAGGTTACACAGCTCAGAATTCTATACATGTGCAGAACAGCATAGACTCAGCAGAGACAACAGAAAAGGAAGAGGACCCAAAACCTGTCATCTCAGGAGAAGTATCACCTGTCTCAGGTTTGTTAATGATCTAAGACTGCTTATTATAAGTATATTGGGGGATGGGAGAGGGGTGTTGACTCTAATTCAGCATCAATCCATGCAAGAACTACTAGGCTAATTGGGAAAGATCTTAATACATTTATGCATGAGTTACTCAAAAGCAGTGCTTTATGATTTTGTTAGTATTTGTACAGGTGAATGTTTAGTCAAATGAGCCTGGTTTTAACAATCTGTACTTTCCTCGTTTTTAATTTTTGAGTATTGTTTTACACCCTAAAAATGTTTATTTTTTCTCATGCTTTTGGTTTTTCATGCATTCTATTTAGGTCTTATACTGTTATTCGAGATGACATTACAAACTTATGGAAATGCATGCTGCTTATTCTGTAGTTATTTGGTCAATTCTCATTTCAATGTTAATTTTTCCAGTTTAGTGGTTGATACTTTCTTTTTTTTTTGGGGGGGGGGGGTTGCCTTTTGCCTTGAGAAGATCTCTGTATAATATTGTTGTTTCTTCTTTAGCCAAAAGAAAGGAGAAAAAGAAGAAAAAGAAAGTGGCGAATGTGGTGAGCTTTGACGAGGACGACACCGTGGGCACAGTGATCACCAAGTCTGGCAGCACCAGCAGTGCCACTCATCTTCCCGAGTCAGTGGCAAGGGAGTTGCAGCTCAATGGGGAAACAAGAGAGAATGGTGAGCAAATGTCAGACTTGGGACCTGCTGCTTTTTATCAGAAAGTAAAGTTAACCTTTGTTTAAGCATTTTTTTAAAGTTCTGATACAACAGTTTTACATTTTATCCTGTCTGGTGCACTTGCCAACTTTCTGATGTGAACATTCTTTTGAGCTTATTGGAGGCGAGCCATTGTTGGTTGAAAGTGAATTGAGCATTATTTTTTTTTTCAACCCCTTATTTGAAGTCATCCCTTTTGCTCTCAGTCATCTCTTAATTTGTTCTTGGTACTCAATGATTGTTCTCATGTTGGTGTACTTCTGTTCGACTCAGTCTTATAAATCATTCATTATGAAAGAGGAGTTGCACCTCTTCTGCTTGTGAAGGCCCAAAAATATTTAGACCCCAACTTCCACGATTTTGAAGTTTGCTGTTGCTCTTATTAATGAAGCATGTGACAGGGTCACAGATGATGATTCCTTATTTTTCTCAGAGCAAAAGTTAGTACTAAATAGTGCTTCCACTCTTCCGTATTTTTACGGAAATCTGTACTTTCTGCCAGTTCCGTACTTGTTCCTCCATCATTATCAACCCTCCCCCCCCCGTAAAAAACTGCGACAGCATAGGACTGCCGAAATTTCGTAGCAAAAGATCTTTACTCGCCTTCGTATCGTCTTGTATAAGTTACGGATATTTACGGTAATTCTCTCGGCAGCAAGTTTATGTTATATAAACCTGCCAGATTGCACATTTCCTGCAATCGGCCATTATTCCGCTATGCCCCATGCATTCATTACGGGTTGGTTGGCAGTACTTAATTTTTTACCTGCAAATGGATCAAAATCTAGCGAACTTTTTGTGCCAATTTCCTCCTGTCTATCATTCGCTCATATCATCTGTCTATCTTTGGATTGTTGCCGCGGCTGGAAAATCTGCGCGTTGATCAAGTAAATTGACTTGTGATCTTATACAGAAAATTACTGTCGGAAAGAAACTTTTTTTGGGGGCGAATTTGTCTAGATCTAGAGAAATTATCAATGCGAAGATTCTATGCCACGTGAACGCGATAATAAGGGCCGCGATGAAAGAAATATGCCAAGACTACTAAAATCAAGAATAATTCGAAGTGGTGTTCCAAGGTTGTGACAGGCGACATTCAGACGTGAAAATTGAGAAAAAATTTGGGTATACGCTGGGCAACTATTGTAAAGGTACATATGTATTCATTATTCCCAGGTTTGCTTTCTATCAATGTTGCGACAACAAATTAATTGAATTATTGTAGCAATGAAAGGGGAACCTGCTTTTAAACATTGCCTGCAATGGAAAGATATGTAGGTGAAGAAACCAAACAAGACAAAATGTTGGTGAAAAAATGAATGTGATAGGTTGTAGGCAATCTCTTCAAACAGGCTCCCAAATGCCATTTTCAACCCTCTAAAAGCACTATATTTCAATTTCTTTGGAGGCTACGCCCCCTGAACCCCCACCGGTGCGCTGTCCCTGGACCCTGCCCCTGGACCCTGCTGGGGGCCTTTGCAGCCCCAGACCCCCTGCAGGATTTTCCTTACTTTTCACCTTCAGCTGGTGGAAGCACTGACTAAAGCCAGTTTAGTCAACTGTTACCTACTTCGATGAAAGGGTATGTTAGACACCCAAGTTTAAATACTAACTCTTCTTTTTTTTCCTCAGGTGAAGGTACACAGGAGGACAACGTGTTTGTGACGGAGAATGAGCCTCAAGAAGAAAGCCTCAGCAAATCTTCAGAGACTGCTGCAGTAGAATTAGCGGCACAAAGGGAGAAGACTACCCCTTCCCTGGTGAGGGATGTCAGTCAAGTCAGCACATCCTCCGTCATGTCTGCCAGTTTAGATCGACTTTCTAAGTCCAGTACAGGTTCCTTCAGTGACCTGGATCATGACAATGGGTAAAGGCATATATTATGATTGTATATATTTAATGAACTGTCAGTTCTTATGATCAGCTCTGACAGAGTGGTCTTATGATCAACAAGACGCTTTTGGAAACGTTGAGATTAAATGTTTCTGGAAAAAAATTTTTAAATTGTTGTGCATGAGTTCAGTAATTGTATTCTTAGTTATTGCTTTTCTAGTTCCTCCGTCAAAGTGTTTGTGAAGTGTTCACCGATATCTCTTTTTGAGTTGCAGATAGCTTTGTACATAAGATGCAAGTGGTTCACTTTACTGATTTCACAAATTTTGTTTTCTTTGTTCAGTTTTTCTTGTTCCTTAGAGATAGAGGATGTAAAGTGATATATTTACAGGTTTCTAAATGATAGGTTTATAATATATTTTTTTTCCAATTATATTTTGTAAGGCTTTGTTAATTCCTTTTTAAAAGGTTTTTGTTAGACATAATGATTATGTTATTGCCATGGGCCTGAATTGTGGCACTTCTAATTTTTATTCCATTGTCATTTGTATTGGTGTTTCAGAATAATGATGTATAAAATAGAGCTGAATGCTGTGTATTGTAATTTTGGCGCCTGAAGATATCATTTTGTAATTGTTATTTCTAAATGGCGTCTTTGTATTTCAAAATTTTTATTGACATTATGTATAGAAGAATGGTTTGGGAAATATCAATGGTAGTGATGGTGTACATAACAGGCTACTAGACTGTACTTCCTTTAAGAGACTGAGATGGTGCAGACAAATAGAACTAAAAGGCCAAGGAGGATATCACATAGTCTTATGAACCTTCTAATTGAGGGGAAATGCAGCCTTGAAGAATTGTTTTACTTTTCACTATAATGTAAATTTCATATACACCAGGACGTTCATGGCCCCAGTTGGTGCTGATGGCATGGTGGTGGACACGGAGATGGTGCCTTACAGCGGCGACTCCTCTGGTATGTCCACGTCACAAGCTTCTTTCGACGCTGTTGATTACCCTGGACACGGAGACATGGAGAGTGCCAGCCTTGCCCTTGCCTTGGCCCAACAAAGCCTGTCAGACAGGTATGTGGTTGGAGTATGTTTGTAGATGTGCTGATGTGGTCTGTTCCTTCAGTTCTTTTTCAGTGTTACTTCAGCTCATTATGGTGTGCTGCAAGGGGGGAGATATTACCAGCTCAAGTCCACTGCATAAATATGCCATAGCTGGGACTTAGCCAGGACTAGAAAAATGTTTTGTTTTCATTTGACTGTAGTTATTATTATGCTTGAGCAGGACCCTATCTTAGTGTTATTTGAAGATTGCTTTAAAAGAAAAGTTCTTAATGGCTCTGGGAGCAGGTACAATTTTTTTTATAGAGAGGACTTGCTAAACTCCGACGAAATGCCCCAAAAAGTATGAAAATTTGTTATAAAAGTGGAGGGTTATGGAATCTTCTGAAACAACCCTTGCTACAAAATGTACGATTTTGGAGTCAAATCAAGGTCATTTGCACTGTAGTCTAACATATCCTCTAAGCCCATATGGTGCCAACTTTTGAACAGGGCTCAATAATGAAGAGATGTTTTGTTACTGTGAATAAGCTTCAGAAAATAATTGTAGAAAGGGGAGATATTGTATAGAGTAGATTACCATTAACTCTCTGGTTGTGGCATTCAGTGGTCGCACAGATGGTGACGGCGGCAGTCCCCAGGAGCCAAGAGCAAAGAAACCCACGCATGATTCCATGTCTGAGGGTAAGTATATATTGTTAAAGGTAAAGTAAAAGTTCTGGTTCATTTGCTCGTGTTGCTTCCAAATGAGGGGCTCACCTGGCTTGACAATTACCCCTGATATTTTCAATGTGCTAACTCATTCCCAGCAGGGTTTCAGCATGGAGGTGTGTTCTGCGTTCAGATACTATTATTTACTCATTTTTGTCCCTATGGACTGCCCACTACCGGATACTCTTTTGCAGCTGAGTGGACTTTGGGAAGTTCCCAAGGACACAATATATTGTGTTACAGAGTTGAAAATTGAACTCACCGTCTTATGATTACAATTTTTTGTGTCTTTGCCGTCTTGCTAGAAAGTCTTTTTGGTATATGAGAAATAATTTAATTCCTTGTCCTAGATCTGTATGAATAAAATTCCTAACCTCAGTATCCCAAAGTGAGCGCTGTCACTTACTGGCTCAATGCCCCATCCCCTAAAATATGTTCTGTCAGTGAAACATTGGGGCTCAACAGCAAAGCCAACTGGTAAACACTAAATTAGGAAGAAAAAAAAAATCCAATCGCTATGAGTTAGTTTCACTCATGTCTTGATTCTGAGGTGCTTCTGATGAATTTTATTCTTTGATTGAAATTCCATTATTTTCACAGCATTAATTGTTTTGTTTTGTCAAAGCTGTTTTTGTGAATTTTTTTCTCAGTCAAAGACCATGCTTGAGCTATAGAGGGATTTCACCATGGAGCCTTTGCAATAACTCCCGAATATAATATTTAAATATATCCAAAGAGATGAATAAAGATTGTCGTCATGTTTAGAGTAACTTTGAAAATCTGTGAAAAATTCTTGTGTTTGGTTTGAAATATGCAAGTGATGTGACATGTTGTGTTAGTGTCAGCTTTTATTTTTTTCTTCATATTGAAGTTCTTTTATGGAAGTAATATACAATTTAATTTCTTTGTATATCTATGTGTGTTTTTACCATTCCAGTAAAGCCACGTAAAACTTCTTACAGGGACAACAAAGTATTATCTTTTCCTATCTTATTTCATCTCATCTGCATTGTGTTTTCTCTTTTAGTCGTTTGAAGGAGATTTGTTTCCAAATCTTTCTGCTGTGAAAAGTATGCAATGTACATGTATTTTTCAGGAGAACTCAAGCAGGCAGTTGTAGCTATGATGCTGAGAAAAGATTCAGTTGAAGAACAAAACAGGTGAGGGTTGCTGTATTTTTCTCTCCTGATATGTCTGTTTTTTAAATTCACTCTTCTAACATTGTAGAAATGTTCTTGTCATTTCTTTCTTACTACTAAGGTTTCCTCTGGAGCTATTGCCATGTAAATAACAATATTGGTAGTATCATGACATGTTTTATGTTTATATTTTAATCTTTTTGCACTTTCTAGTGAATTTTAAAAAAATGTGTGCTCAATGTTACTTTTAAAAACCTTGTATGTTTTCACTAGGTGAAAGCCTCACCTATGTGTGTTATCATCTTAGAGTACTGAGGTGATTCTTTACACTGTGGAGCTTTTGTTTGAGATTATGTTATACGTAGTGTCCTTTATCTGTTGTATTTATTACTTTTATTCCACTATCTTTTCTTGTGAAATAGCCAGTTTTATTGAAAGGACTTTTATAAAAGAAAAAGAAAAAAGCAGAGTTGGTATACCTTATTGTCTTGGTGAAGTTATTACAAGAGGCTGCTTTCTTGCTATTGTTATGTTTTGCTTTTTATTTTATAAAATGTATATTGATGAAGAAGTCAAAATCCTCAGTGTTCACGTTGAGTGGATGGTGCATGCATTCATTATGCATGGGATTACACAAAGTAAAGCCAAAACTTTAATATTTATTCAATGTCAGTTGAAGATTTGTCTATCACATCTGGTCAAATTTTAAGAGGTACATGTAAACTGTTTCCATTTGTGTATTATTGAGACATGAAGAGCTTGGTTCCCTCAGGAAACTTGAAGGTATGCTCCAGCATGAAATGGAGACATCGTCAACTCTCCGTGCAGAAATTGAGGAGCTTAAGGTGCAGCATGCCTCCAGGCATGAGAAGGAGCAAGCAAAAATTCAAGCCTTACAAAAGTGAGTTTTTGAGCGAATAGAGGCAAAGTGTTGAAAGAGATTGGTGCTTCTTTTCATTAAAGTGACAGAAATTTAGCTGACATTATTATCTTCTATCTCAATGAAAAAGCTTAATCCCGTTCTGAACAAACTAAAAATATTTACATAATATCATCATATAACTTAGTGTACTCTTCTTGCTTGATTGCTCATACTAAGGAGTCGCTTTGATACCTGTTTCTGCTTCCATTATGAACTGATCTAAATGAGAAGGATTTTCCTTACTTTTTTTTCTGTTTGTACAATTTTCAGGGAAAATGAGCTTCTAAAACATCAGCTGAAGAAATATGTAAATGCTGTACAAATGTTGAGAACTGAAGGGATCAACAAAGAAGGTATGGATGGATTTTTTAAACAGATTAGTCGAAAGATCATGTCGTTATAATTTCATTTGCCTGTGCCAAGAATAAGTTTGGATATCTCTTAAAATTTTGCTGTTTTTGTGATAGCACTTAAATGTAATGTAGACCAAGAAGGAAACAATCCTTTTTGTCCATGCACAGCCCCCATTCATAGATAATGAGTAACTTACATTTCATTGAGCACTCAATTTTCTTTCGGCATGGTCATTCTTACAAAGAAGGAGAACTGTCATAACATCTAAAACCCTATCAACAATAAAGTTCAGACTTATAAAATATTTTATATTTATGTAGGTCCGAAATATCAACTTTAAATTATTATTTAAATAGTAGAAGAGGTCACTGTTTGTATTTCCATGTGAGAGAAATCAAATGTTATTGTTTCGTGTCTTGGTTCAGACTCACTGGGCATCCATCTAGAGGAGCCACAGCCGAGCCTGCCACCGCCAAAACCCAACATTGACTACAGCCACGAAGCAGCAGAGTATGAGAAGAAGCTCATTCAGGTAAGACTGTACTGTTTTCAATGTTTCTGGCTGACGCTGAAGAGGATTCTGCTAAATTTTCATTTGTATTCTGTAATTTTGTTGTGTATGGAATTAATTGTAGCAGTCCACTTATATTGCTCTAGAAATATTATAGTGCCCAGTGGCTGACTTTGATAATTTCATTTTAACCATTATCAGTCAATGAACGATTAAGTTTAATTGGTGTAAGAAAAGAACACAAATACACCATTTTTAGAAAATTCTGAACGGAACTCCAATTTTCATAGTGCTTTTTACTTATTTACTGTCTCTACACTTATAGAAGCCATCTTGTTTATATACCATCAGATGTTTTTGACTTATTATTCTCTTTATTCCCATATTCTCCAAGAAGGCTTCAAATTCAACTAAAAAGTTGCTATGGTATTCATTAGTGCAGAGTTAATCATACAGCTACTCTTGGTGGACAATATTTTCTTGGTAATTGCCGATACTTTTCTTGTTGTTTCTTGTTTATGAAGAGTTAAGCATAATTTTCTTAAATGTAACTCAGGTGGCAGAGATGCATGGAGAGCTAATGGAGTTCAATGAGCTGCTTCATCGTCAGCTGAATGGGAGAGATAACGTCCTCAGGCAGTTACGAGAAGAATTGGTTCTACTACGAGGGCCAGTAAGTGGTTTCAGTTAAAGCGGTCAACACTTCTCCAGTGTGTAGCATCAGGGTCCTTTTCTGTATCTGAGGGAGGCACCTTCTAGAAGCTCCTTCCCTGATCTGTGGTTGTTAGAATGCTTCACATTTACTTGTGAAAATCTGGCTTGTGGTTGTTGGTGGCTTTGACATGGCATGGCACAGGGAAGTGCATGGTTCTGCAAGTTGAGTAGTTGTGGCTTGGAAAGCATATGTGGAATGGAAGTGTCAGTATTCACCTTCAGCTGCACAATGTCAGACCGAAATTAGATGTAGATACGACACTCACAGGACAGGTGTTGACTCAGTCTTTTGCTTCTCTCCCTTTTTCCCCCCCTGTTTGATTTTTTTCTCTTTTTTTTTTTGACTTTGTGTGCATTTTTCACTTTGTTTAGACTATGAGTCTTATTGAGTGGAAATTAATCTTTATTTGTGGTCGCTTGTTTGGGAACTACATTTTATAAAGCTGAATGATGACTTGACAACAGGGTTTCAGTTTAAGATTTAGTAATATGGAAACCCTGTAATAATCTTTCGGTTCAATTGCATATTGTGGGGGAAATGAATGATAGATAAAAATAACTGCCCGAGAAAATGTTTTAAAATTAAATTGACTATGCAGACCAAGCACACCAATATGATTATCTTTGGCTTATTTGAATTCCAGAACACCCTGCTAAAAACATAATTGCATTATTGTTACGTTTAAAGCGCAAATAAACTTCCTGTGCATATGCAGAGATTTGCATGTCATTTAATGGTCACCCTAATGTCTTTAGAATGCAAATCAATTTTTTTGGTGATTTTCAAAGCACGGTTTGGCATTTTGCTATTTGTGGCTGTGCAACTTCTGTTGGTTTTTTTCCTAAACAACTTTCTTGTGTGTTGGCTTGTGTCCTTGAGGCTTTGTTCTTCTTAGACTTGAGTTCACTTGAGGGAGAGGAAGGGGGGATTGTTGTAGTGATGGATTTGCTTTTTCAGAGCTTGATTAAGAGATTAAGTGAGAAAAGAGGGGGGGGGGGTGTGTGATGTGTGTGAATTTTACATTTACTGATGTGCTTTTCATAAACAATTTTTTAGCTAAAGTAAAGAGTGTAATTGGGTTCTGTTTAGTTCTGGGCCTAAGCGGATTCATTGGTCAGCATTTTTGATAAACATTTGCTTCTTGAGAAAATTGAATAATAGTTTTGTTGAAAAGATCAGGATTTAATATTTTGATGCATTTAGTATATAAATTTTGCACGTGTGAGATATTTAAGTGCATTTTAATACAAGAGAATTTTATTTGTACGCCTAAAATAATACATATGTTCAAAATTTATTCACCACATTTTTTCTTCGTGTCAACAAATTTGGTATAATTGGTGCTGAATAATCGCACCCATCTGATGAAAATTTAGTAACATTGTGAATGCAAATTAGCATTTGGTAATAACAAGTCTCTTCTTCTGTGACGTGCATGTGGGTTTGGCTTTTTGTTTTGCTTGTAGCAGAATCTCTCCTCCTGTTCTTGCTCTTAGTGCAAAACTTGTGAGGAGGACTATCAGCTTAACAATGAGTCTTTATGCAGGTCCATGCTAACGCCTTCTGCTTGTCCCAACAGCTGCCTTATGACAGGAAGATGTCCGTTCAGACAGGCCAAGAAATTGAGAAGTAAGTAACCAAGAAGTAGAAATTGGCAAGATTCAACCCTTCCAGCCCCAGCCATTTTTGTGCATTCCCTAACTCCAGTCCCAGCCAATACAACAGTATTTCACAAAAAGAGGCATGCATTAAAAAAATAATGATGTAGTATCTTTGAAATGAGGTTTAAATAATAACATATATAACAATGTTTAAAGGTAAATGAACAAATATTATCCAAATGAAAGTTTAATTAGGTTCGTTATTTTCGAAAAAATGCGCAAATTCAGTACCCCCCGAAACTGAGAATATATGCTCTTGGGACGGTGGGAGGTACAAGAGCTGCTGAAAATATACTCGCATGGGCTGGAAGGGTTAACATTCTTTTTTCGTCATTCTGCCTCCTCTTACTATGCTAAGCTAATGATTTTGGTAAAGAATTTGATATAGTACCAATTGTGTTTTCTTAATTATTGCATGTATACTGATGATTTTTTGGCTGATTGTGTTGGTTGGTAATGTTTTAAACAGTTCTATCTATTTTGGATAAAATGTTTAAAGTGTGGCTAGGTGACATGGAACAAGAAAAGTAGTTTTTTAATGGTATTAGAAATAACTGCTATTAAAAGATTCGTGCACAAAGAATGTGTTTAACTCTTTCACTAGCCTGTGCGGTGTTTCACGGCTCACCAGTTCCTGCCTCAAAACCCTACTTACTTTTGTATCAATTGAATATGAAATCTCTGGCTGAAGAATGATCGTTTTTAGTAACATGTTAAGATAGGTCATTATTTCACCTTTATTTTCATATAAAATACATTTGGCTGATATTGAAAATTGAAATCAAAGTCTTTAATTTGTCCGATGGTAGGCAGAACCTGAAAATAGGTCACAGATTGGGCCCGGTCCAGGTGAAGAAAACCCTCTAGTAGTGAAAGAGTTTAGAATTATTTATTAAATCTGAGGACCATTCCCTTCTGATGATGAACTATGGCTTTCTTTACCATGAACAACAACTGAGCAACATTCTCCACTATATCCTTGTTTGATTCCTAACTTTTCTAAACATGCATCATTGTTAATTTCTATTCTACCATCCATGGGCTTAAATGTGGATGCTTACATCCCTTGCCATCATATTTCATAGTTGCTATCGAAACAATGTAAGGGAGAACAAATGAGGAACCAATGGCTTTCACTTTAATTATCTTCTCTAAGTTGTCTTTGTTTTAAGTTATTTTTATTCCTGACACGCATTTTTGAAGAATAATTGTGGAAGATGTTTTTGCTGTTCTATCCTAATCTCAATACTTTTCCCTTCTATTCTGACAGTATGGGCCTTCAACATACACTTATAAATATATGGATCCCCTCTGCATTTTTGAGGGGCTCTTCAAATAATACTCATCATGTTTACCAGGTGAGTGTGAAATAGTACTCACAAGTTTGCAAATGGTGTTATTTGTATGAGTCTATGGTCGTGGTTTCTTGCCATTCCACAGAGTTTACAAGATGTTTTGAATGTTCATAAAATTTCAATGTAAAATAAATTTATAGCATTTAAGTCATACCTTGTGGCTTACGTACAGTTGCATCAAATACTCATCCTGTTTTATATTACATGTTTGCTCCCTTCTTTTGATTACACAATGTAATTTATGCTTGTTTGCATATTTGGTAAGTTTTTCTTCAGTGCTGAAATGCGATATAACAACTAAAGTTCAACGGTATATTTATAAATTTTGTATGTGGCCTAGTGGCGAGAATGAGGACACCCCCCCCCCCGTCAAATTAAACCTAAACCTAATTGTAATTTTCATTTGTAATAATCGTATATTTTGTATATTTTATTTCAAATGCTGTTGATTAGCATGGAAAGATAAATCTAGTTTTCTGTAATGATTCATCGCTACTTATTAAAATTTTTTTTGTTGCAATCTGTGATCATTTTACAGGTTGTTTCAGTGGGTTTGGAATTATTTATCATATTCATTGTTTCAGGTCTATATACGCATCCGTGATGAAGAATGGAATGTGTACAGGAGATACAATCAATTCTTGGATATGCATCAACGACTAAGAAAGGTGTATCCTATCATTGGAAAATTTGAATTCCCTCCTAAAAAAGCAATAGGAAAGAAAGTAAGTGTTTTGCTATCCAACATATTTTTTTTTCTGCATATAATGTTTTTTATTCAACACTTTTAAGAGATTTAACTGAGCTAACTGAGTGGTGTCGGTAGCCTAGTGGTTAACTCACTGAAGACGTTTCACGCATCATGTGCAAGCACCAATATTTTCCCGAGAGGTTGTTCACCTGCCCCCTGCGAGCACAAGCTGTTTTTTATGTCCTATCGGGCATGTTTAGATCTGTTATGTGTGTAAAAATGGTGGTTGTATGTCTTTGGGAAGGGTATTGTTTGAAATATTGAAATACCCCCCAAAATACCTGTCTTCAGCGCATGTAGACCCGAAAAAGACCCAGTCCCCAGTGAGTTAAGCTACCGGACTGGTAATTATGAGATTGTGGGTTCGGGGGTATGAGGCCTGAAGCTGTGCCTCTGGAAAGGCTTTTTGCACAAATTTTTCACTTGGCTAGGTCCTTTCGGAGAATGGACGTTAAACTCGGAGGTCCCGCCTCTTAAATAACCTAACGGTGTTGATAGGGGTATTAAACCTAAACCATTTGTGTCATGACTCTCGTAAATTTTTTTGTATATTAGTATCATCTTAAAGGCTGTTCATTTGCCTTGCATTTGATGAAAAAATATCAATTTATCTTGAATAGAAGTCAAGATATTTGCAATTGAAGGAGGTGGGGTCGAATGATTTCAGAAGTAAAATTAGTGAGAAAATAGCTGCCAAAGTTTGGTGACTTCCATTGCTCAAGAGTCCTTGGAAATGGGAATTTACATTTTTCATGCCATTAATCAATGTTTTTCCATAAAATCCATACGTAAGAATATTTCTGAATGGACATACAAGGTGTTAAGCGCAAATACAAGAATTAGAAAAAAAATATTCAAACGGTCGAAAAATGTCGATTTCTTTGTTTTCATTATTTTGACGAGCGCCTGATTTCACCACGACACCTCACATTTCATTTGGAGCTAACTAGGTTTGTGACTGTCTTTCTGAAGGAACTGACAAAAAAAAAAAAGGATATGTGTATTGCAGCTTGTCACCTTTGTCACCTAGGTGGGGTTAGACAGACTTTCCTTAAGCTACATTTTTAGAGATTTCATCCTTTTAGTGTGTACCATCCTCTTTATTTGCAGTTTATTGTCAGGTGCTTTTTGCTTATTCAATTGTTTTTTTGTTTTGTTTAGAGATACCTCCAAATCATCCAACAATCATCAAGCACAAATGTAGGTCTTATCTTATCCTTATCCAATACTTGGGCATGAGAGGGAAACAATATACCCTGAGGCTAGCACCCGGAGGTGGTCCTCCCCCCCCCCCCTCCAAAATCTCTGCTCTCAGCTCTTTTTCATGCGTCCAACAAATTACCTAAATTTTGTTCTTTTTATTAGGTGACAAACTTCTCAAATACTAAAATGATGTTTGCTGACGCTTGTAATGTTATTCTTGTCCTCTTATCTTGTCCACTAGGATGCAAAATTGGTGGAGAGTCGACGGCAGGTGTTCCAGACATACCTCAGAAATGTCATCAATGTGATGATGGAGAAAAACGACCAGCTGGCCTCTTCTTCTTGCAAAGAGAGATTGGTCTCTTATTTACCCTTTTTCAAGTGAGTACAAATTACGAAAAGATAAAGTGATTACTTGAAGATTACCTAAACCTTGTTGCTTGAACCCAGGTTTTGTCCATTCACTGCAAGATGTAGCCCTTCAAAACTCATCTCCACTTTGTTTTATTGGCTGTTCTCCATATCCAGGATGTACCTGTCCTCTTTCTGATGTTATTTTGCTTGTCACCTTTTTTCTGGTCTTCTTTTTTATTATTAATGTCTCGTTCATGGTCTCCATTCTGTGCATCTTTTGTCCATTTGATCGCAAAGGTCGAGGTGGTCTAGATCAACAACAAATTGATGGGGACTCTCTAGATCTAAATCTCCCAAAAGCTTTCCTCTACATTGTCATTTCCTTTCAGTACGAGTGCTACATTGGGGAACTGACGACACAGTGTACACACTGCCTGGCCATAAGATTTCCATATGAAACACTAGGTCTGTTCTGTAGCAATGGCAAAGTTGATCTGCATCCATTTCCAAAACCACCTCCTGAACTGCAAATCCTTCTGTCTGGTGTGTCGACACTGTCCACTCACTTTCTGGAGAAAATCAGGCTGTACAACCATAGCTTTCAGCTCACATCCATGGGCTATACCGATGCAACCCTCAATGGATGGAATCCACAGTTTCGCGAGAAGGGTCAAGTATATCATCGCATTGGCTCTCTTCCTGCCACCCAAAATGAGCATTCATTTCTGTAAGGTTATTTCATGGAAAGTGATGCAACCTCAGAGCGCAGAAACAGTCTATTCCAAGTACTTGAGCCTGGGATCATTTCTGATCTTCAAGCCATGTTGCATTGCCATAATTCGTATGTCATAATCTGAAATGTGCATATGAATTTGCACGCTCACATTTTGAATAGTCTGTAGAAGTGTCATGGAAAGTTTCGTGGGCTTAAGTTAATTTGTCAATGAGCTAGAATTTTTTAAAACGCTGTCAGAGGAAAGCGAACAAGCTATAGACACTACCTATGTGATTTTGAAGACGTCGGTGTGTTCCTTTTTCAGAGTAGCAGCCCTTTCGTGGATTATTGTGTTCTTAGTGCTTTTCTGTGATGGTGTAAGGCGAAATCCGTATTTTGTAATTGTGAAGGGCTAGACAACAATACACTAAAGCAATGTAGATCAAGAAAGGAGTTAATCAAGGCAGACTTAAACTAAAGCAATATAGATCTAGAAACCAGATATGACTGTGAAATGCTAGACAGCAAGGACATGTAGATGTAAAATGCCTCTGCGGCGTACAACAGTAGGAGCAGTGACGCCAAGGCGTCGACCCCGAGCAAAGCCGGGTGCTCAGCTAGTTTTTCATATTTTGTAACATATTTGTCTTTTTCTAGTATCACAGAGTTTATCTCATTTGTTTCAGTGACAAGGCAGAGGAAGGATCCAAAAAAGGAAAGAAAGGCAAAAGAAGTTCTGTAGCCCCTACCACCATCCCGGTATCTGTTCCTGAAGGAGCTGCCAGTGGAAGCCGAAATGATGGAGAACAAGTGCCAGACCAGTACCAAGGTCTTTAAAGGATAGGGAGAGGCTTGTTTGTCAGCAATTTCTGTCTAGGAAATGTTATGCTTTGTAAAGGAATTTCCCTCCAATGGGAATGTATTTCCCATGCGATGCACAAGTCCAATGGCATGATTATTATTAATCAGTCTGTGTTTGTGGGATTTCAGCGCAGTTTGAAATGTTTCGTTTCAATTTTCATGCCTGGTATTATCCCAGAAATGAGGATCACAGACTAACTATATACAACTGACAGGTTAAATTAATGATGAGAACTTAATTAATTTATTTTTTAGCAATATCTCAGTAAGTAAATACCGGAGACTGGTGAGGGGATCACTTTTTATGCGCATGCCGCTTTTTCAGAAATTTCTGGAATACCTAATCTAGGGTGTTCTAACTAGTGGTCTCCTTACATGGCATTTCATGTCTCCTGGTTTGTAGGCGCCATCACTGTGCCTTTTTGGGGTACATTACAATACTTTCTGGAAATCTCGTTTGAATTTGTTGGTTCCTGTCGTGGATTTGTTACAGTACAGTGCTATGCTACCCACAACACATTGGCTGGAAGTGTCTTTGCTGTGCTTGCAGTTAATGGGAATTTTTCTCTTTGTTAATGTATGTGAAATGGAAATATGGAACATAGATTTTATCTAGGTAGGGACAAAAACAGCAGTTTTGACAAACATTAAACAGGAATATTAAATCAGATGGTGAAATGAGAAATAAAAGGTCTTATCAGATGCGCAGAAACATAGACTCAGACCTTTGGAAATAAATGATTATTATTAATTCTTTTTTTCTGTAATGCTTTATTGTGATTTAAAGAGATGATGTAAGTTTATTTAACCCCATTCAAATTTTAGTTTTGGTTCTAGAAACAAGGACATTTTGGTTTTATGCGGTTCTTTGTTAAAAGCATTGATTTTCTTATTGAAAACCCACCTGCGACCCCTTGCAGAAATTTTTGCCGAAGTCAAAAGTACGCAGTCTAAACACTCGAATAGATGAATGCTCTGTTCTTGTTGTCAAGTCCTGTAAGTGGTTCAAAGGCTTGTATTATAATTTTTGACTGAAGATGCTTTTGCTCAGTTTTATTTATGTTCATCTGCTTTATTTCCCTTTTCTGTTCTGCAAACAACTTGGGAACCGAGTGACAAAGCAAAGTAAAAACTGATTGGGAAGCTATTGTTAAAAGGCTATGGGTGAATTATATGCCTCTTTAGATAATTTCAAGACCAGTCTGAGCAGCAGTCATTATTCACATATACTGAGAGCCGAAGAATAATCACGAGAATTTATTGAAACAAAAAAATGGCACAAACTACCCAGCATTCACTGTAAGTAAGGTTCAGATTGAGGAAATGGCTGTGACTATTTTATAGGAATCTATTGTTGAGAGACACGACATGAATTTTATAACTGTGAATCATAATTTTCAGAACAACTTGTTATATCATTAATTTGACAGTACTCAGCTTTCAGGGCTCCTCCTCTGTGCATTTTTAATGTGATGTTTAAGTTTAAGATCACGTATGGGCTTAGACAGAACAGTTAGCCTACTGTATTGTCCTTGTTAGATATTGTGAGTTTTGCCTTGTCTTTTTAGCTGTTTTGAAACAGCAAAATAGTTGTCTTTTTGTTTTTTGTGTTCTTTTTGGTAAATGCAATAGGTTAATAATTTCATTTGTATTTTTTGTTGTAGTCCGTGAAGTGTTTTAGGTCTCTTGTTTGTAAAGCAAGAAATATTTCTTTCAAAAACTTATTTTGTACTTTCATATGCTGTTATCAAACCCAGTGCTTAATCAAAGATCAGCTTCTCTGGTACTGTTTCTTTTTTTCTTTTGTGTACAATTATTTCATTCCTGCTATTCCATTCTCTATTTTTCATGTTCATGTGTAAAATGTGATGAAGGTACAGTTTTGCTCTTCAATGTGACTTGCTTTTTTTCAAAGAAATTCTTTTTAGTCTCCTTTATTTGTTGTCCTGCCTTTTGTTTTTTACTTCATCTATATGTCATGCATTGTCGATGTGATGGTTTATAGATGGATGGTTACTGAGGTTTTCTAATGTCATGCTGTGGCAGCAGGTGATTGTGATGGTGCATTTGGATTTGTTATAATTTGCTTTGTATCGCACGGTATTGTATACTGAATATGTGTTTAAAAAAAGGCTGTACCATGTGTAAATAGGTTCTGCAAGGACAAGTAAAAATACTCTTTTTTTTCTTTTGCTGATTTCAGATTTTGTTTCTCTACTTTTTAGATGTGTATGTGGTTGGAAGGAGCTCTTCAAAGTCCTATTTATCTGATATGTTTCATGTTTTGAGTTTGTCTGAATGCTTTTTGTTGACATTTGCTTATTTTGTATGGAAACTATGTGAAAATGACAATATTTCTATCTGTATTATATTGAAATAAGCTGTAAATTTGTGAGTATAAACATTTGCTTATTGGTCAAGATCAATTGTGTTACAAACAATTTTATTTAAAGGAAAATAATACACAGCAGATTAACAATACTATGAGATGGTTGGCGTTTTTAACGCTTTCATTACCCTGGGGTTTCCCTCACCTGGACTAGTCCCAGTCTGTGACCTACTTTCTGATTCTGCCTACTGCCAGACAAATGAAAGATTTTTTTGTTCAATTTTCAATAGTACCCACATGTATTATTATATATATGAAAATAAAGGGGAAATAATGACTTATTTCAGCATATTGCTTAAAACGATCATTCTTCGGCCTGAGATTTCAGATTCGATTTTATTACAAAAGTAGGTGAGGTTTGAAGCAGGAAGTGGCGAGCCATGAAACACGGCTCGTGGTCCAGCGTAGGGGGTAACACGAGCTGTGAAACATGACTCGCGGTAGTGAAAGAGTTAATAAGAAATATTTGGTTTTATGTTGTTCTTCTTTACAGGCATTGATTGTCCTACTGAAGCCATTTTTAGTACATTTTTTATTGGCAGGGATAAATACCAGTTTTCTGCAGGTTTCTGATTATTGAAAACTGAAACTAAAATTACTTAAGTTTCCCTCTTAGTTTAATGTGTTTTTATAGTTAGTAACACCTGCAATGGAGAACATCTGTAAATGTCATTTGTTCAGACATTTTATTTCAAACCTCTAAACTACTACAGGGTTTATTTGCATGAATGTGTGTTGAGCTGATGTATAAAACTGATGTTTTGTTTGTAAGGGCACAAACCATTCATATTTATGAAATCATCACAGACTTTTGTTATAACGATTCTATCCCTCGTTTTGTGCTGTGTGATTTGTGCTCTTCTTTTTTGGCTGCGACATTGTTGCGTTTGCTCTTATCACATCCTGGCTTTGAGAGACCATTGTATTTTGCATATTGCTGATATTTTTTAAAACTTTCCATCTTCTTCTCTCCTTCTGTCCTTTGACTTCAAAGGTCATTTGAGTGCAGTTTCAAGCCATTTGGTGGAGCCATCATTAACGAGATTTTGGTTTGAATATGGGTATGGTCTAAATTTGTTTTTTATTTGCTTAGAATGTTTCTTTTCAGCCTGTGTTCTGTCTTAAGAACAAATTTTATGGTTTTTGCCTCAGATATGAGCTTTTATGTGTCTGGTACTGCTGAGGACATTCAGCTCAAACAAAAACAATTTATATGAAAGAAGACACCCCCCCAGCATCGACAAGACTCGGTAAGAGTAAAAACATATAGCAGGGTATTGTTACCGATACATCTGCACTTTCAGAGTCAGCAGAAGATATTGTTTTGGTTCAAAATGGTGGGGGTGGGGTTAAGAACAACAGGGTATATGATGTGATCATTTTTATCTTTCAAGATCTATAGCAGAAAATTCTTTATTCCTAAATGTCAGTCCGAGGGGGTTTTGGAACATCTGTGTTGACGGTATTTGATTTCAATCTCATCCTATTGTGGTTTGTAAAGGTTGGCTCTGAACCAAAATAGTGAATCTAGTAAAGTCTGAACTTTTGTTTGATAACTGGATGTCAGATGTCTCTCTTTGTTTATTAGCCTGTCTTTGTACCGTTTTCATATATTGTTTGTATAATTGAAAACTATTTTAGCAGGCATGACCCTTAATGTCAACTAGAAATAAAACATTGGGCTCACAAAGGGCGTACTGTTCCAGGGAATGGTTAGACAGTCTGCTTTGCAGATATATAGGCATATATATAAGATTACTTCTTATGTGCTGGTATAAAGATTTTTCATCATACATGTACTTAATAAAAGTTTCTTCTGTTGTATTCTGACATAGATACAGATCCAGAGCTGTGAGCAGCTGGTCAGATCAAAATGGAAAAATTTGAAAATGAAAAATATATAACGAAATTATTACGGGTAGATTCTATGTTCATTGGTTTCATATTTTATTTCTAATCCTTCTTACTTTTCCCTTTTGGTATTTGTGTCGGCAAGTTGGGTTTTTTTATGTCTCAGAGTATGAATTAGAATTAGGCCTTCGGTGTGGTGTCCCCAAAAGGCTTGGCTTATAGTAGAGACAGTCATTTGTGTCTTCAGCAAGGAAATCATCTTTATTTTTGGTCATAATAATTTGGTTCTGTTGTATGTATTTGTGAATATTGTATGGAGCCCTTAATGTGATAAGTTTATGAATATAGAATGAATTTTTAATCATGCTTGTTTCCATTTGTTATTTGTTTTTAGGAAGCTGATGTATACTGAAAATACCAAGCTTTCATGACACTGGCGAGCACAAAACTGTAATTGTTGTGGAGGGAAGTTTTGCTCTCTCTATTATGTTGTACATGTTGCTATATTTTTACTACTCTATGTTGTTTTACAGTGTTTTGTTACCTTTCTTGATAAGAGATTACCTGCGTATGTTCATTATGTGCTTTAGCAGTTTTCTTCCTATTCAGCAAGCAATGTTTGACAATGATATAAGGATGATGGTAGTTGTATATGAGCAGCAGGGTTGATATGTGAACATTTCCACACCTGTTCCATCTCTCCATGTTTCATTTTCTTTCCCGTGACACTTGCTTGCACAAGGTTCCGTGACTCGGGTGGTTATAGATTTGAAATAGGTTTAAAAATTTAGGGGGGGTGGTGGTGGTGGTGGTAAATGTTTTACTTCTTCGTTAACAGCAGTTTGGGTCATATAAGGGGCAGGCTGTCTTAATTCTCACTTAATCTGTAGTTGGCCAATGTCTGTCATTACCTTTCGGGTTACGATTTGTACTTTTTAAGTTAATTTTAAAAACTGTTAAAACAACACTAGGCAGAGTATTTGGACCCCTTTGTAAAGGACTTTCAGCGCTCTGTCCTTCTTCTGAGAAGTGCATGAAGTTGTTTTTTTTGTTGGGTTTTTTTTTTGGGGGGGGGGGGGACTGGAATGTTATATATTCTAAAATCACAAATCACTAGTTCCTTGATAAGGGCCTGAGGTGAGAGCTGGCTATGTCAGAACTGGGAGATTTTTAAAAAAAAGTATTTATTTACTTATTTAAAATGTTTCTTTTGGTATGTAGAGATGTCTGTAGGAGAATATGAGTTCATGCACGAGAATTTGGGAATCTGTATTTTTGGACTCAACCTGTGGTTGACATATCAGTGCAGAAGGGAGTGGGACAAGACAAAGCTGGTACAGAGAAGGAAATGTCACCAACTAAGCTAGACAGATTTTGGCGTCTGAGTGTCGCGCCACATTCAGGGGAGTTACACCCCTTTTTGGTGGGACAGCGAACTAATACCCATCGCATTGAGAGTGTGGACAATTGAATGGGGTGAACAAATATGTTGTTTTCAACCAATTAAAAAAAACCCCAAACAATAGAGTGTAGTTAGTCACTGTTCAGCATCAGTATCAGAAGCCTGCCTTGGGTGCACTATGAAAGTAACATGTATAAAATGTTTCTTTTATATAAAAGTATTGAAAACAAATTGGTACAAGTAATAGAAAATCAAATATTTCATTTGCTTTTTCTGTGGTGAATGACTAGATCCATATCAACTATATGTATATTTTTGGGACAGACACTTTTCAAATGCTTTGAAATTCAATTATGTCATCACACCCTCTGTGTTAATGAATGTAGTCTCCTTTTTTTTCAAAATTTGTTGGATAATCCAGTACATAAGATGTTTTTTTTTGGGGGAAAGTAGGCCCTACTACTGCACATTTTATCAGCTTACATTTTCTAGTCATTCCACTGGTTTTGGTGCTCCGTATGTCTTAATCAATTTATTTTCACAGTGTCTTATGTCAGCCTTTTACTGTTGGGATTCAGAGAGATAATGGTCACTGTATTTTAAAGGTTTCCACCAAAAGTAAAGTCAGATATGCTTTGAGTGTTCTAATTTAGCTTCCTTCTTCCAGTGGCCAGTTTGTCTGTTCTTGTTTGCTTGTTTTGAGGAATGCATTGGTAGAGTAGTTACTTTTGTTTTTAGCCCATAACTATCGACTTTCAGTGAATATATTTCTTGTTGGTATGGTCCATCAAATTTGAACAAAATTTTTGCCAAATGTCATATTTTAGATAAAATAAAAAGGTAACTGTCTTTTTTTCATTTTTAACCAATGCTTGTTTTGTGAAACATTCATGGGTTGTTGTTTTTTAGAGGCTCAATTTTTAATGGCATTACACAGCCAACTTGGTCATATGAAGGCTTCCCTTTGTTAAAACATGTATTTGATTTTGAGAACAAATTGACCGTCTTCAATGGGTATTTGACTTCTTTGTGCAACTGCTCACTTGAAAATTTTGGTTTATTGTATGAACAGACCCACTCTTCATTTAGTTGTGTACCATGATGCTTTATATTCTTTTTTTTTTTGCGAGGATGCTATCCTTTCCAATATTTTCATCCAAGTCTCTGTTGTAACTTTCCTGACTATCATGTGATTATTGTAGACGTTTGAGCCCGTGGTCACTTGTCAGTGAATTAAACAAATAGCTGAGATTTCAGCACGTTCTTTGGATAGCATAATAAAACCACCACTTTTTTTTTTTAATTTTAATTTCCAGAAATTTGTAAATTTCAGGGAGTCTGGTGATTTCTGAAGTTTCATTTGTTTGTTTCTTGTATTGAAATTGTCTGACAGATTTTTCCAACTGTATAAATGTTTTTGTCTCTGCCATTCTTAGAGCTCTGGAAAGTCTCCAAATCTAGCACCAGCAGGTTAGAACCTTGTCTAGAGACTCTCCGTGGAATTTCCTATACTTTTTGCCGGTCAAAATTAAACTTATTTTATGCTCCTGTCCAAAGTAGTGTTTTCAAGAAGGCTTTGTCATAAAAATATTGAGATTATGTGCCTTGAAGTTCCTTTGTGTCGAAATGCTTGGTAAACCCCATCGTACCAAATTGCACGAAGGGGGCCAAATCAGGTCGTCTGAAGTCACTCAGAGTCAAGGTTTCTACGTGGGTATTCTCTCATGAAATGTAGACACATTCAGTAAAAGGCCCTGACCAGCAGTGTGAACTAAATAGCCTTAAATGTTGTCACCTCCAAAGTTGCCAAATAAAAAAAAAGAAGATTTTTTGCCTTTTTAATAATTTTGTTCTGACTGGTGCCTATGGTATAGCAGTTATAATAAGCAGAACCCATGAGTTCAATTCCCTTGTGGTGAGAATTTTTATTGAGTATCTCTGTCTTTCTGCTGGAACATTGTATCCATCCGAGCCCGGGTTGGCTCTTAGAGGCAGGGTCAA